TGATTCCCCCTCTGCTCTGCCCCAGAAAGCCTGCACCCCAAAGCCACCAGGTCCTGTTTCAAATCAGAGCAAACCAGTGAAATCCAGGGGGCACAAGTGCATGGCACAGCCACAGTGACCTAACTGGGAATGAGAGTGGACACTACACTATTTGATACAGCTTGGGGAGACCGAGAAAGAGATGTTGGTACATAAGAGCATGTAACAGAGAAACGATCAACAGCAACAGTGTTGAGATGAACTCCAGTCTGATTAAGAAAAACAGAGAGAGAGAGAGACTGAAATTGCTGGGTTTTATAGTACCATTTTTGTTTAATGTCATCTTCAACGTTCAGTTACTCCATTATAGCACTATAAACAATCAGGATGACCCCAGCAATAATGAACTGTTTTGATGTTTTATTGTCACCCTGAAAACAACTTGCATCTCTTTCCTCTTCCTAATAAAATTCTTGATATCCTTTATTTTTTAATGTTCTAATTGGCTGCTAGTGAGGTCTTCTTTCTGTGCCACTTTGAAGAAAACCTGCCTAGGTCAGCAGACCACATCAGGCAGATAATTTCTTGCTAACTGATACACAAAGCCAACGCTTGAACAGAGCCCTGTTTATTTGCCTTTTCAAAATTGTGACATTTCAGATATCTCCTTGCAGCCAAAACGTCTGTGTGGGTCATTATGCAGAGACACTGTGATCTGCCTACCTAACATTCCTGCCACGACTCTGGCAGGGATGTCATTCACCTCTTGCACAGCGAGAAACACAACGTGGGATTATGGCATGCTGCTAAACCCAGCTGCTGTGTTTTGCCTTGGAGAAAGTTGTATTTCACTATTGTGAGAAAGGATCCTCCCCCAGCTCCACACAGAGATCCAGCCATCCTCATAGAATGTAGGGTTTGGTCCCTCTGCTGAGGCACTGGTCCTGTTCATACTCTGACTGCAGACACTGAGTAACACAGCCATAAAAACAGATCAGAACATTTGGAATCACTGGATAAAATGCAGCAGATGAGGCAGTGGTGATTCAAGCTAAGACACCAGGCACAGAAGCTTGGTCCTATTTTCCCTGCTCACTTTGCTGGGGAGAGGGTTTCTTAGCCATGGTGGGCAGCACCCAGCTGGGGTCATAATAGTTATAATAAGCCCAAGGTGCTACTGAGCAACTGCAAGTGTCTTACGATGAGTGGGGGAAAGATCCACCCTTCACACTTGCCAGCTGCAAACTCTGTGGTTGCTTTCCAACCCAGCATGGCCACTGGAAGGGTGAGCTGGCTGCATCCCCATGCTTAAGCTTTGGGTAATTATTTATGCACACACTCAAATCTCTGTCCTGCTAACAGCCTCAAAAAGCACCTTACGGCAAGAAAAATGTGGTACTTTGATCTGTAGATGTCTTTTACTGCATAATGGAAATACCAGGAGTTATCGCTGCTATCCCAATAAAGAGTGTCCTTTCTCAGCTCTTTTGGGGACAGCAGGAGCATTGCTGAACTATCACCTTAGGACAGGATTCTGCAACCATCACCAGCAAATCCATCAGTGACGATGGGAGACCTCAAACAGCATCCAGGGAACACACCTCAGGGAGCTACCAGCCTGTCACAAGGGTCAGCACTACTGACCGGCGATGTGTGCATGGCTCTCCTCACACTCCTCTGCTCTGCAGACAAGTGCAAGAAAGCAGCACTTAAAATATTACATTAGGAGATAGCTTTGACCCCACATGGTGCTCAGGTGCAAATGTCTCCCCAGGGTGAAAGACAACAGATAGTTGGACTTGACAAGCAATTTACAGTGATGCTTTCATCTATGCGGAGTTAATTCAATCTTTTCAATCCTATTTACTGAAACATTGGCATCCACGTGTATTCTGCTGCCATCATTTGACCCACACTCAGAAGCAGATGTGACTTGGTTGCAGAATTAAAGGATGCAGCAATGCCCTGATTTAATTTAAACCTCATATTTATAGATACCTAGCCCTCACTGAAGCAGCACAGGGCTGACACTCAGGTTGTTGCTTTGGGTTCTGTTTGCTCTGCTTCTCACACCTTTGAGGGGCAAATAAATCCTATAGTATGTCCAGTCTAACTGCCCTAGTACTCACCTTTAAAACAACCTGACTCCCAATTCAAGCACATGTGCTGCTGAAATAGCACAACCAAACACTTCTGGGATTTGAATCCTTGGGACAGAGCAGCCTCTTACTACCTGCAGTGCCTAAGAGAATTTGCAAGGAAATATTTAAAAAAAACCCAGTATCTAGTAATGCTAAGGCTCTCAAAACCACTGAGCCACTTCCCACAGAGAGCTGTTTGGGGAAGGGTGGGCTCTTTTTTAAAGAAACATGAAAATGCAGTAGTGAAATTAATTATCTGTATTCCTCCTTCCTTGCTCTTGGGCAGCCCCCTGGGTTTCCTCATGGGTCCTATCCAGTGTCAGTGTCAACACCAGGCATTGCAGCCCTGATTAAGTCATTACAAGTCAGCCCTTGTTCCTCCACTTCCAGTCAAGAGCAAATGAGACACGTGCAGGCTTTGGAAGCCCTGAAGTGCAGCTCTGTCCTGGACACAGCAGGGCGAGTGGAGTTGGCAGAGACCTGTGGACTCCAGCTGTTTTGGACATGAGTGGTGCCCATGAATTGGCTGAGCACTAGTCCCTGAGCATTTGCTTGATTTTCTGCTGGAAGTGCCACATGGGGGTAAGCAGGGACACTATCAAAGGAGATTGATTATGTTAAGGACACATTACCATGCATAGTATCAGGTTGCAAAACCAGGTTCAACCAGTGCTAGGTTAGAAGTTCAAGCTTCCATCAAAATTCTGGAAAGCACAAGTCATCCACTGATCTGAAGCAAACTTGCTTTTCAGCAAGAATCACTGCATGTCAAGCCATAGGTTTCCCAAAACATAAGGGTTACCCAAAGTGCCCTAACTGTTCATTTGCTTTTCCAACTCTTTGCAGGCTTCATTAGAGCTGCAAATACAAGTTGCCATTCAAGACCCAAAGCCGTTTCTTTTGCTTCCCATAAGAGATGCTCAGGCATAATCAAAAATCCAGAAAGACTAATAGGAGGAAAGGAGAAGTTGAAGAAAAAAAAAAAAAGAATCACCTATGACTTCTGAGAGTCTAATAGTATGTTATGGCAGCCTGAGCACAAAGGGCCTTGTCCCCATCTTACATAGGGAAAACTGAGGCACAGATCAACACAATGACATGCTTAAAGACATGACAAGACCATGGAAACCTCAAGTGAAGAGGTCAGTTTCTCTGTGTGCCTCACACTGCAAGAGCTAAAGAGGCTGTTGCAGAGGGCTGTCACTGCTCACACAGTGTTGGCCCTGACAGAGATCCCTGGGAGGGAAAAGGGTTAAGGAAGGGAATTTTGTTACTTTCTTGTCGTATTTTCTCGTGGGGGGAGAAGCGTCATGCAAGCGAGAGTTTTCCACTGGCTAGGCCCCCTTGCACTTATCAATGGGACCTTTCAGGACTCACTCCCTGATTGAGACATCATTTCCTGTCCAACACACTAACCCCATTGATAACTCCATGCTTGATGGGAACTTTTCAAACCTACCAGGAAAGGCCAGGAGACCCAGATCAACATATACATGAAAACAGAACTGGGGCAAAAAAAGAAAAAGAAGGGAAAGAAAGAAAGAAACAGTTTTGGCCACAATTTTTAGGCTGACAACAAATGTTTGTGATCTGGGATCTTTAGCAGGTACCATCAGGCACCGAGAAGACACTGACATACTCTTCACAGCAGTGGGACTGGCAGGTCTGGCACTTCAGTCCAGTAAGAAGTGGAGATGGACAGAAAAGGAAGCTTAAGAACATCCCTCTCTTGTCTTCCAGCCACACAGCAAATAGAAATAAGGACTGGCTGTAGAAATGGTTGCATTATTCACCATGGCCAGGAGGCCATAACAGATGTAGCTTGCAAGCCAGGTTAGACTTCAGGTTTCCAAGTACCAAAAATGGAAAATAAAGGGGAGCAATGATGAAACTAGAGCTCTTCAAGAACCCTCAGATCAAGAATCCTTTTTTCCCCTAATTTATCAAAGCAAAAATGCTCAGTGTCACTTTCCATGACACAGCACAGTCAGCTGTGTACATCCTTAACTCTGGCTGTGTGGATTCACTTGATATTCTAACCTCAG